TGTGAGCCACCATGTGGTTGCTGGGAATTGAACTCAGGACCTCTGGAAGAGCAGTCAGTGCTCTTAACCTCTGAGCCATCTCTCCAGCCCGGGCCTCTGGACTTTTGCTCATCTGGTCCCTTAGCTTCTTTCTTCTCTCTGGGCTGAAACCCACCTGGGCCTAGTGTGCAGACCAAATCCCACCTCCTCTCCTCCATAGAAAAGCCTCCTCCTCACTCATACGTGACCACAGCCGCCCAAACTCCTTATCACATCTGACTGGCATGTATCTGTCGAAGGATTCTCAGCATCCATTCAATGTTAGCACACGTTTAGCGCATGTTTAGCTCATGTTTAGTGCTGAGTTCTGAGTATCAGGGACACGAAACTCACACAGAAAGGCTGTCCGAAGGCTTGCCTGTATGGAGTAGTGTTTGCATCAGCCACGGCTGTGGAATTCAGTGTGGACCAGGAACGCCACATGAGTAAAGGAAAGGGGGATTTCTGCGCTTGAGTTCATTCACTCTCTGCATCTTGGGGTTACCTCTTACTTCCTGGGTGGTGTTATAGGCTGTCTTGTAATGATGTTTATATGAGGTCTAGCAGCCTTGGTTTTGAACTTAGCTGTGCCAGCCTTGTTTGCCTCATGGAGCGCTAACAGCAGCAAAAATACAGGACCACTCAGAGCATCCAGGAAATAACGGGTAAGCAAGTGCCTCAAATAGTTCCCAATACTTAGGTCCTTGGTGAACAAGAATCAGTTCCAGTGACAGGGACACATACCCATGATCTCAGTACTGGGAGGCCAGCCTGGGGTATACAGACATCCTGAGGTCAATCTGGGCTACAGAGACCCCTTTCTCAAACAAACTATCAACAAAACTACAAAAGAATAAACACAGAACAAAGGAATCATTAAGACCCTCGGGCTGGGCGTTGTTGGGGCATGTCTTTAATCCCAGCACTCGGAAGGCAGAGGCAGGCGGATCTCTGTGAGTTCGAGACCAGCCTGGTTTCCAGATCGAGTGCTAGGACAGGCTCCAAAGCTACACAGCGAAACCCTGTCTCGAAAAAACAACAACAAAAAAAGACCCTCGGGTTAGAGCTGGGTGGTGGTGGTGCATGCCTTTAGTCCCAGCACTTGGGAAGGAGGGGCAGGAGGATCCCTGTGAGTTTGAGACCAGGCTGGGTCTACAAAGAACGAGTTCCAGGACAGCCTCCAAAGCTACGCAGAGAAACCCTGTCTCAAAACACAAACAAACAAACAAGACTC